AATTTCTCTCTGTAATTATACTGCACACAAAGTATAAACTGAAGTTTCACAAACACCAGAGCCAACTAATTTGTTTCTCTAATTATACTGCACACAAAGTATAAACTGAGGTTTCACAAACACCAGAGCCAAACAATTTGTCTCTATAATTATACTGCACACAAAGTATAAACTGAAGTTTCACAAACACCAGAGCCAACCAATTTCTCTCTGTAATTATACTGCACACAAAGTAAAAACTGAAGTTTCAACCAGAGCCAACCAATTTCTCTCTGTAATTATACTGAACACAAAGTATAAACTGAAGTTTCACAAACACCAGAGCCAACCAATTTCTCTCTGTAATTATACTGCACACAAAGTATAAACTGAAGTTTCACAAACACCAGAGCCAACTAATTTGTTTCTCTAATTATACTGCACACAAAGTATAAACTGTGGTTTCACAAACACCAGAGCCAACTAATTTGTCTCTATAAGTATACTGCACAAAAAGTATAAATTGAGATTTCACAAACATAATTTATATCCTTCTGATTTGAACTGCATATTTACTTTTTAATTCTGGTTACAAAATGTTTTGAAATTATTAATAACCACTGTTTCTGTATTATCGGATACCAACACCATGTTGTGGTGAAGTGTTGTTACTGGTGATGAAACAAACGGCTATATCTTTCAATTAAAACATGACAAACAGAAGGGTAACATAAGTGAACCTAAGATTCTAATTTATTTTAAACAACATGAATAGTGAATAAATATAATATAATCTAATATATATATACGTGTGATGTTATCAGAGTTCAGTAAACACAGATGCACTAAAAACTAGTGAAATAATAATTATAACAAACAACAAGACAAATGACATTTCCTTAAATTTGCCCAGACACAAATTAAGTTTTTATGCTGTATACTGCATGATTTCACACACGTATATGTATATATGTGGAACTGATTCAGTTCTGTATTTCCATAATATGGTATATGGAAAAACTGCAACACAGATGTACAAGAGACTGCTGTCAGCATGCCACTCAATGAAAAATATGTGAATTGAGGAAGACATACCAACTGGTGGTGGTTAAACAAGAAGACTCAAAAGTAAAATGGAAAACGTTTATCTTGGACCCTCTCCAGAAAAACAACAACTTATGGTTGAACTTTCACAAAACTTAGATAGTGATTTTGGGTGGAAACTAAGGGCAGTCAGAGACAAAAATTTATCTTCGCTCACTTTCTCACACTATGGTGTGGTGTATACTAATAATGCTTATTGTTTATAGCTGTACTGTAATAGTAGACACCACTACTGTTTTACTACAACTTTACTCAACAGGAAAAAAAAATACTGTATTAATTTGCGACATATACTTGTTAATATGTTACAGTGGTTTAGGAGATGTTGAGGTCACTGATTAAGTTATATATGATACGTATTTCTGCCAGTATGCTGGGTAGAAGCAACGGACATGGAGTTGGATGATTACTGGAATTTGCTATATGATTATTCACTGGGTCAAGTAATCTATTATTGTTACACAAGACTTGGATAGTTCGAATAATCAAAAATAGTAGTAATTGGAAACACTAATTTTGATTAGTTGATTATTTTCAAGTATTGTGACACTAATCAAGTTGAACTAACTTGTATTAATCAAAAACAATAACAAGAAATCATAATGGCAATATTTTGATTACTTGGAAATTTGGAATAATCAAAAAGAGTTATAATCATAAATACTAATTTTTATCAGTTGATTATTTTTTGTGACAATAATTGATGTAATCTATGCTCATAGGTAATTGATTGTATTGATCAATTGTCCAGCTCTAAATGGAAACTGAACTGATAAAGGGTTAGGTTTTCTAAAAAAAAAGAGGAAAATACATTAAAAATGCATTTTTTAACTGTGGGGATGTCACTAATCACATTTAAATAACAGGTATAGGTTTATAATGGGAAACAATATGCTGTTCGGACAGCTCAGTTTTGTTGACTGTAACTTATTGCGTAAGTAGTCTGACATATTAGAAATTATCATGTTACTGTATTCTAAAAGAGGCCTAATGTAAATTTTATAAATAAGGATAATCAATCTTATTAAACCCTATAGAGAAAGGTAAAGAAATGTTATCTAAATGAATGAAAGACTGACACAAAATGCTTCATTAGGTTGCAATTTTAAGGTTTAATTGACAAAAATGGATTTAATGTTGAAATAAGATATCAATGTACATGTCATCAAACCCATGAAAGCAAAGAAAGCATATTTCTTAGATGAAGTCAGTCAATTAAAGTTAAATCCACCTGTAAGCAAAGAAATCCAAAAGACAAAAAGTGATTTCAAGTCATTTCACAATGATAAATGTCTGTTTTCACATGTTTAATGCGAGTACTTTCCAAATGCAAGAAAAGAATCATACAGCAGCAAATAAGATCAGTAATGAAGATTTTCTAAGAAAAGTTTTCCGTCAAGATCTTACTGCCCATGAGACTAAGTAGTATAATATAAACTGCTTGACACAATGTCTAACAAACTCTTAAAGAAAGCAAAAAGCTACAGTTATGGAACTCCAAGTGATAGGGCTTTTGTGCTGATTTTGTTTATCTCTTAGCAACTGAATCAGAGTCTTGATTCAGAATAACTATGTGTGTTCTCACCTCTTCACGGAAAGATGTTCCTATCACCAGTATCAGGTTTCCAGGATGATTGTATACTTTAATTAAATTTAGCAGTACACGTTCAATTCCAAGACCCCTGTAATTTCACCATAAAAATAAACATTAGCACAAGCAAGATATTTGCATAAACTGATAATGAGTCAGGGTAAGAACTTAAGTGGGATTCAAACCCCAGCTATACAGGAGAATCTATCAACATAGATACAACTTCCTAGACTACTATGTCATTACCTAATTTCATATTTTCCAAGAGCCTCAAGGTCCTTAAGCCATTTCAATCTAGTGGCTGTGGAGAGTAATTCTTCATTAAAATTATCAAATAATAATTGAAAAAAAAAAAGATTGATAAAGGTGCTACAGTTGTCAAACCCCAGTTGAGGTTAATATATAACAGAAAAAGCTTTTTTTTTATGTATCAGTAATACATTTTAATATATATTTTGCTTTTTCAACAAGGACTACAAGAAATGTTACCATCCTTATCTTTCTTAATCTCAAATAGATACAAAAACATCTGTTTTTGATGAGATATAAATATTTAGAGCTGTTAAAAAATATGAAAACAGTGGCATTCCATCAATACCCTAGATTTTGGTCATAAGTTCAGTTTTGTATATATATATAGTCATGGCAGTTTTATTCCATTTTGCTAACTTCCCTAGAGTCATAGTAGTGTTACTCCATCCTGCTAACTTGCCTAGTGTCTCAGTAGTTTTACTCTATCCTACTAACTTGCCTAGTGTCTCAGTAGTTTTACTCTATCCTACTAACTTGCCTAGAGTCATAGTAGTTTTACTCCATCCTACAAACTTGCCTAGCGTCTCAGTAGTGTTACTCCATCTTACTAACTTGCCTAGAGTCACAGTAGTGTTTCTCCATCCTACTAACTTGCCTAGTGTCTCAGTAGTGTTACTCCATCCTAACTTGCCTAATGTCTCAGTAGTGTTACTCCATCCTACCAACATGCCTAGAGTCTCAGTAGTTTTACGCCATCCTACTAACTTGCCTAGCTTCTCAGTAGTGTTACTCTATCCTACTATCTTCCCTAGTGTCACAGTAGTGTTACTCCATTCTACTAACTTGGCTAGTGTCACAGTAGTGTTACTCCATCCTAACTTGCCTAGTGTCTCAGTAGTGTTACTCCATCCTAACTTGCCTAGTGTCTCAGTAGTGTTACTCCATCCTATCAACATGCCTAGTCTCAGTAGTTTTACGCCATCCTACTAACTTGCCTAGAGTCTCAGTAGTGTTACTCTATCCTACTATCTTCCCTAGTGTCACAGTAGTGTTACTCTATCCTACTATCTTCCCTAGTGTAGTAGTGTTACTCCATTCTACTAACTTGGCTAGTGTCTCAGTAGTGTTACTCCATCCTAACTTTCCTAGTGTCTCAGTAGTGTTACTCCATCCTAACTTGCCTAGTGTCTCAGTAGTGTTACTCCATCCTAACTTGCCTAGTGTCTCAGTAATGTTACTCCATCCTACCAACATGCCTAGTGACTCAGTAGTGTTACTCCATTCTACTAACTTGCCTAAAGTCCTGGTATTGTCACTCCATCCTTCCAAGTTGACTGCAGTCATTATCATGTCTCAAGACTTAACCACAACATTTTCTTTTTTCTACAATTTTGTTTATAACCATCAAATTATAATCAAATAATACCTAGAATTTTAAGGATATCAAAAAAGACCAGGCTCAGGTATCTTTTAGGCTTAGTTCCGAATGTCAAATTAATAAACTCTTCTTTATCTGCAACATTTTTTCTTTCTATGCCTAGCAGTTCGAACCAGGGAGCTTCTCAAATCAAATGAAGGAAATCAGTATTTAGTATATTTACACTTAAAAAACATGTGTAAGGGGACACCATGCAAATAAGATTTAGTATTCACTGCTCAGCAGAAAATTTTAAAAAGAACATTGCAAGTAAAGAAGACTTTCTTATGTAGACATTTACATCACATTATAAGCTCATCACTGTAAGATTCCTTTATAATACTGAATATTGTAGCAACTGTACATCCTGTAGAGGTGTTATGACTAGAAAACTACACAAATACTTTTGGGAATAAAAGACTGACTTAATTTGGTACAATAATACATTTCTATGCAAAATGAGTCAGAACCAATTTGCTCATTTAACTTCAGTCTGAATCATCTTCAGTGTTTTAAATTGCATTTGTTCAAGTGTTTAAACCATTTTTTACAGTCTTAGTAGTATTATAGCATTTATATTGTTACATCTCTGGTCGTTAGTAAATTTTCCGTAAAAATTATTTTCGAAGAAACTTTAGCGATACAAGTCCTTTCTTAAATAAAACTGGTTTATTCTTTCTGAATACAACTTTGCAATACACTTAATTTCCACAGTCACGCTATAACAAATGCTATAATTCACTACGAACATCTCACGTGCTCGACACAACTGTCCGTATCTATCTCTGTCTGCAGTTCAATTACACATTACATTACAATGTTGCCATCAGTTCTTGGCGGTCTTATATACAGCTAATACCGAAAATCTAGTAAACACTCGAGGCTTCACGAACCTTCGAGAATATGACATGTTACTAGCGTCACGTGACCTCCACTGTCGTAACAATATGTTACAATAGACAATATTACTTCAAGACCTTTCTGTCATATAAAATAAACAAGAAATCTGCTTTACTTACTTTGCTGTGATAACCAAACCATCTTCCTCCACAAGTTTCAACAACAACTCATTTTCAAACTGCAACAGTCCCATAACTGTTCTCTGGTGTCTTAGACTGTTGGAGCTAGAAACTGTTAATAGTAACATTTTAGTTTTTCTATGAAATAAAAGACATCTAAAACAGGTCATACATTTAAAACTTTAACTTTAAGGTACTGCATAAAATGTATTTTCATTATCTATATTTTCCGCATACATAACAAGAGCAAAAATGTATAATTATTATTATCAATTTGAAAGGAAAGCCAATTTTTTCTATCAGTAGTAGTAGTAGTACTACTACCAGTAAAACACCAAAATTAAGTACATTTAAATCCCCATATTTGAATACTTTAAATAAAAACACCTTTAATATTATTGAACTAGTGTTTCACTAGTGTGTGGTTAGTTGGATATATTGTAATCTAGCCTTAAATTATTTCCTGTAGATTGTTGTAATATCGTGCACTTTGGGTTAGTTAAAATTGAATATATTTTTTGAAATATTTAATATTCTTAACATTGAACTGTTATAAATTTAACTAGCTTAAAACAAAAATGGCTGAAGTAACATTGTATCTTTCTAAAGATGTGTACCCTCCAGAAATGTCAACAGCTGACCAAAAATGTAGTTTAAGACTGATAAAGAAATTGTTGTTGAAGGGTTAGTATAGTATGATTTTACACCTTGCACATCCTGTTGTTATTGGATAAGTAACTTTCTGGTTTCAAATACATGTTGAATTTATTATAACAAGGTCTTGGGCTCTTTAATGAATTACCAATACGATGTTTCATTTTTTGTTCATATATATATAAACACATACACACACAAACACACACACAACTTCGTGGTGATTTATAATTTTTTACAGATAGTCAACTTTACCTGAAAGCCCAACCACAGAAACTGGTTGTGGCTTGTGAAGAAAAAGATATGTTGGGGATGCCATCAAGGATAGAAGAAGACAGTAACAAAGATTACAGAGAGGTTCTATTGGATAGGAATTGAAGAAGATGTGAAACAACTGGTATTCAAACTGTAACTTTTCCAAAATAGCTTTCAACCACCCTTACACATTTTATTCATGATAAATTAAAAACTATCATTGTTCATACAAAATACTGTTTTTTTTAAATCTGCTTAAAAGATAAAATTGTGCAAATCGATACTTGTCATGTACAATTTTTTATAATATGTTTCAACAGGTGATAACAATATAAATTCACCTGCTTGATTTATCACCTTATCACTTTAAAGGCTGGCTGTAATAAAAAAATTTAATTAGATTAAACACTGTGAAATATGCCAGAGGTTTGAAATGTTGAAGACTGCTGCACCAATCCTTCATCCTATCAAAGTAACCAGACCATGGGATATGCTTGGTATTAACTTAATAGAGCCATTACCAATCACTAATACAGGTCATTGCTACATTTTAACCTGTACACATTACTTCACCAAATGGGTTGTTGTTGTCCCATTATTTAATAAGACAGCCCCTGAAGTTGGCAGCCATCTGGTGGATATATATAATAAGTGAATCAGTTTGTGTATTGTTTGAAATATAGCATAATGTGCATTTGTAGTAAATATTAACACTACTTGAAATTGTTCTAATAAATATGAAAGAAATTAAAAATATAAAATTCTTGTAATCCTCAAGCTTCAGAATAAATAATCCTTTGACAGTTATGGAAATCCTGATCAAGTGTTGACAGACCAAGGGCAAGAGTTTGTGAATGAGATAGTGATTTATAATTGTTTAACAATGTACTAATTATGGTCATTTAGAACTAGCTTTTATAAGCTGAATGTTTGATTTAGCTTAGTTATAAATGTTTTTAATTTTTTATTAAAGGACAAAATGAGTTAAAATAGACAAAGGTGTTACAGAAATAAACCATCAATAGTTTTTGTTAGCATGTGTGTATTTACATGTATGTATCTTTTTAGGATTAACCAATACATATTTCAAGTGTTGGGAATCAGACATACAATAACTTCTGTGTACCACCCTCAAACAACTAGGTTTGACAAAAGGACAAATGGAATTATTGAAAGAGCACTCAGCAAACTGGTTGATGAACAACAGAATAACTTGGAAGAGAAAAAAAAAAAAAAGATATTGGTGTTCCTGAAGACCCAATACTTGAAGATGATATTACTACCCATGTAGAAAATATGGTGTAGAAAAAAACTATGCTACATGAAGAAGTATGTAACCCATACTGAACATTTGCGATAGCTCTGTATTACCTCCGTAATTATATCTTATACATTTATACAGGTCTTTTATTATGATGTCTACCTCTTTATAAAAAATTCACTTTGAAAGGAATGGAACTAATCAACACCACCCACCAATTTGTAATGGACCACTCCAATGAAATACTGTCCTATTGTAACTAAACTCCCAAACATATTAGATGTGTTAATTACTGTTTGTGTAATACATTTCTTGTTTTTATTAAATATAGGTACAGCACTTGTGTGTATCAACGACTCTTGGTTATTTTTTCACAGGCTCTTGGTAACACTGAAAAATCCCAGGCAAGACAGAAGAAGTATGAGAAGAGTAAGGAAAAAGGTAGATAAAGTGTTTCAGTTTCAACCTCATGCCCTAGTGCTTACAAGAAACATGCTGAAACTGAACAATAAAGGCTATAAACTGGAAAGTTCATGGAAAGGCCCATACACAATTGTTGAGATCACCAAGAAAGGGGCAATGAAATTGAAGCATTTGGCCAGTTGAATGTTATTGAAGAAAAATATTTCAGTTAAGCAGTTAAAGCCATACTTGAAGGAGGTGTTTGTTTTTTCCATAAAGATAAACAAGTATCTATATATGTGTGTATGTGTGTGTGTATATACACACATTAATCAATTTACTGTTTACTGTACTTAAATTTAATACTAAAAGTTAGTCTTAGTGTGATATTTTTTTAACTAATAGTTATAAGAACTTCCTAAGTTTCTTCTAAACATTCTGTAATATAAAATTAAATAAGGAATTGATACTTTCATTATATTTTCAATCAATTACAGAATTTTAAAGAAAGTTTTTAACATTTTTTTTAAATAGTCCTTGTATGCTGTTAGTGTTATTTAGTGCTAGGCTACAGTAGTACTAACTTAGCATTCATTTGTTCAGATACTGAGATAGGCTTATAAATAACAAATGTAATAAATAATACAGTGAAGAAGGCCATTTTTATTACATAAAATAATACTTACTTAGTATGTTTGTTGACAATGAAAAGCGAAATGATTAAAGTTTGCACAAACAGACATTTAGTAAAACTTAAGTTACGATACGGTAGGATGAAATTTAAATGACGGCAAATTTTCGCGGCTTTGACTTTTAAGCTGCGAAATCTCACACCGCCTGTATCGAGAAAATTACCGGTAAACGAAATTTTACTTCTCGCGTCCACGAGCACTTGAGTGTATCACTAAAGTCAGTTAACATCCTTTTAATTAAGTCCAAGAAATTCGACGATCCGGAACTACAGAAATGAAACTGGACATCCGATAATTCACTCAGGGTTCACCTTTGTTTGTAATAGTAATTCCGACCTTGAACTGTTAATCAAAGAAAATGTCCTTAAAACAATGTTTCTTGTTTTAAATATAACACAGTCCTATACACCGAGTAGTCACAAGTAAATAGACACCTAATTTTTCGTCATTTAACTGATTTATGCTAACTAATTTATGTTCACAGAGCACTATATAAATGAAAATGGTCCGCACACTAATTATTTTGTGCTACAACATGCCTAGAACTCAAGGTTCTCTCGAATTGTCAGATTTTGTTAGAGGAAGGATAGTTGGTCAAGCAGATGGTGGAATAAGTCAGCGGCAAATTTCGCAGAATTTGGGAATCCCGCTTTCAAAAGTCAACAGAATCATCGTGCAGTTCAGGAAACACGGCAAGGAAACAACTGAGCAGCGTCCGGGTCGTCCTAGTCCATTGGAGAGTACAAAAAGGGCTGTCAAGAGGAGCATCGAAATGGATCCCAGATTAACGATTGCAGAAGTGGCCAAAGTTTGTAGGATGAGCCGAAATCT